AAGTTAGGTTATTTTATTTCCCTTTATTGCATTGTAAGGTATCTCTCTCTATAAATAGAGAGAGATGGTCATGTATTATTGAAAAAGTGCACAAAAATGTAGTTCTCCAGTGAGAGAGAGTGTGGTGGGATCTCTCCCACCAAGTGTTCTTGTATTGTCATATTTTATTACTCTCTTTTCTAGTAAAATTAAAAGGGAGATGATATTTGTTGTCTAAAATATTTGAATATTTTGAAGAATTTGCTCCAAGAATTTTTTATGTTCTGGAAATAGACACAATGTCTTGGGTTTTATTGAAGAAACTGGAGAAGATTACTTTTTGAAGACTTTATCAACATATTTTTTGGAGTTCATAAATCTGCATATGAGAAATCATAAAGAGGTATGATGTTCTTGCTCTTTGTTCTTCATTTGAGCTGACAGATCCTTGAAAATTATCTTGGACGTAATAAACTTGTTTGAAAAGGCATATGTCCTTATTACTCTTTTTAGAAAGAGTACTGCACCATTTATTTTCCCTCCTGAACAAAACCATGTGACTTTGAACCATCAACTCACCTTTTATCCCCATACTTTAACTCGCACACTCGATCTTTTACATTGACCCATGCCTTGTCCCCTTACTTTATACCTCTTTCCCTCACTTTATGCCTTTCTCTCTCCTTTCTGCCACATTATACCCTTCCCAACACTCCATATGATCCCCATATGCTTTAGGAAAGATTCCATTTAATAAACCTGAAGTTATGGCCTCTACGGTATCAAAATTTCATGAAAAAACGGCATTTTTCGTCATCAGCCCTCCCATCCTTGGTGCCCAACACCGAAGACCAAAATCTGACCAAAGAATTTCCTTACCCGAAGACCTAAAGTCAATACTAAAGAGAATAGGCCACATTGGAATTCTGTCGAAGAGCCTCTCATCCGAAGCCTCTGCGGTCCTCGCAGACCGGAGACTTCTGCCCGTAGACTTCGTTTCCCCCCCCCCTCACGTCCTCACATACTGAAGACCTACTCCTCGCTAACCACTCTTCGCCTACTCACAACCCCACTTCACTCTTTGCTTCCTTCACAACCTACCCGCAGCCTAACCAACTCACAGATCCTTACCTAACCTCTAACCCAGGGACCTCGGGTCCTCGGTAACCATATCTCGTCCTCGCCATTTCCTCCTAAGCCTTTCCTCCTCAGTACCCCTCCTCGGTACTCACCCTTCCTTATCTCATACCGTATACTTACTTACCACTCCTCGACAACCATCAACCTTTACCCCTCGACCCGTAGCCTTGCCTCCTCAATACTATACTCCTCGGTATCCCCCCTCCTTCCTCGTCCTCCTCCCTCCTCGTGTTCCATCCTCCTCCCCTCTCATTGCAGCCCCTCTCATTTCCATAAACCTTCTTTTTGCCTTATTTTTTTAATTAACACTCATTTAATTTTTTACACCAATTTCTTTTTCAGCCAATTTTTTTATTAGCCAATTTTTTTGCTAAAACCCAACAAATACCTTATCCTTTTATATTTTTTTATTAAAACCAATTTATTTCCTTATTTTATTTTAAAACCAATTATTTTTTTAATACCAATTTTTGCCACAACCCAACCTATGATAGTCACATTAGATTACTTCATGTTGATTATAGTGGAAGAATTTCATTATTCTTTTCATGAGGATTACCCCATACCGCAGTCGTACATCATATCTTTCTTCGCGAGGATTGTACCGCAGTTGCATCAGATCAACAAAATTGTTTCACAACCTTCACTCTACAGGATTTTTATGACTTGTCGCTCTTGATCTTCGGTTGACGAACCATGTATCTTGAGCATGTGGACTTTATTTATTAAAGACCACTTCAGGAGTTCCGGCACTGCAGTTTGGGTACATCGGCATTCTTCATCAAAGCAGAGATTTTTCACGCAGATTTCTTTTTGTTACTTTGGTATTTGTTCGAGCAATTTTCAGTGACAGAATCAATCGGCTACAGATGACCGGAGAGTATTCATTTTACTCTCATTCTCGTATTTTATCGAGACCCTTCATACATCTAGGGAGAGCATGCAAAGCTCTTGGTATCCAACACTCTCCATCCAGATGATTTATTTATTTTTGATATCCGGTCATTGGTTATCAAAAATAGGGAGAGAATATTATGTTATCATCCAGATATGATTTTATGATTGTTTGAGTTTGGATTTTTGATACTTCTAAAGACGATGAGTTATTTGGTGATGCGGCGTGGAGCTGATTTTTGGTCATCTTTTGATCAAATTTTTGGCTTCACTAGATGTTTCTAGGATCCAGATTATTTATTATTCAGACTCTACCACAGGATGTCTCATTTGTGTTTGCATCCGAAACAGATCTTATGATTTCTCGAGTTTGGATTTGTGATATTTTGAAGAAGAATATTATTTTGGTGATGTGATGTGGCACTTATTTTTGATCTTTCGATCAAAATTTTGGCATTGCTAGACCATGTCTTCGAACTCACATTATTTATTATTCGGACTTCACTTTTGGATACTTCACATTTTTAGTAGGTTATTCTGTTGAATAATTTTGGGTGTATTATGATTCGATAACTAGAGATGTTTCAGACTTCTTGAAGCCGAAGTGTTTTTCTGATTGGATTTTCTACTTGATCATTGGGCTTGTGACGAGTTTGAAGAATTAGATCTTATTTTTCTGCCTCGAGAGTGACGACCTTGAAGCCGAAGACCTTTACTGATTAGAGATTCATGGCCAGCATCAGAGATCACGGACACTTTAGAGTTTCAGAGATATTTCATCATTTGGTTCTCATTATGTTTCATTTTTTATTACTACACTTGTTAGTCGGTTACTGTGTATTTTATCCTTTTATAACTGTATTTGTGGCCCTCATCATTTGTGAGCATTTAGGGAGAGATTATTGGAGCATGAAAATGCTCTACAAATTATGAGTGAAAAGTTAGGTTATTTTATTTCCCTTTATTGTATTGTAAGGTATCTCTCTCTATAAATAGAGAGAGACGGTCATGTGTTATAGAAAAAGCACACAAAAATGTAGTTCTCTAGTAAGAGAGATTGTGGCGGGATCTCTCCCACCAAGTGTTCTTGTATTGTCATATTTTATTACTTTCTTTTCTAGTGAAATTATCGGATTACTCATCTTATGGTGTTCTTCATAATTTTATGATCGTTAAATCTCAAGATGTTCTTATTCCGCACAAACCGATCGTCAAAATGGGATCCTACATATGATACTAGATGGAGTTGATGACCGGTACCCCCATGCAATGATCCGTATCCACAACCCACACTCGTACGTACCACATGCACTCATACGAGAACACTTGAACATGCAGCCAGCCCCGCACCCACACCATTCTTGGTCCCCTATTCGAAGAACATAAGAAAATCAGGTCGTGTCCTCGACCATGACACGACGGTGATGACCGACGCCCCTAAGATGACATCAATCTGTATCCATGACCCACACACATCCCCGTACCATGGTCCTCAAGGCGAGAGCACATTAATAGAAATTTGTGTCCCGACCCATATATTATACAAGATTGATTTGATGACTGGTACCCCCATGAAATGATTCGTATCCATGACCCACACTCCTATGTACCACATCTACTCGTACCAAGGTCCCATGCACGGTGATGGAGAACACATGAAAGGTAAGTCTCGTGTCTCGTTCCATGAAACTAGACTAATGGATGACATCGCTAATGCATGAACAAGATATACCCTCGAGTTTGAACACGCAGCCGGCCCCGCACCCACACAATGCAAGGTCCCATGTTCGAAGAACATAAGAAAATCAGGCCATGTCCCGGACCATGACACGACGGTGATGACCGACGCCCTAAGATGACGTCAATATGTATCTATGGCCCACATCCATCCCTACACCAAGGTCCCCCGGGCCAAAGCACATGAACGGAAATTTGTGTCCTAACCCATATATGATACTAGATCAAGCTAATGATTGTATCCTTCATGCAATGATCTGTATCCACGATCCACACTTGTACGTACCACATGTACTCGTACCGTGGTCCCCTTCCCAATGATAGAGAATACATGAAAGCTAAGTCGTGTGTCTCATTCCATGACACTAGACTGATGGTCGGCACCCCCAATGCATGATCCAAATATACCCTCAAGTTTGAACAAGCAGTCGGACCCGCACCCACACCATTCATGGTCCCCTGATCGAAGAACATAAGAAAATTAGGTTGTGTCCGGGACCATGACACGACGGTGATGACCGATGCCCCTAAGATGACATCAGTTCGTATCCATTACCCACACACATCCCCACACCATGGTCCCCAAGGTGAGAGAACATGAATAGAAATCTATGTCCTAACCCATATATGATTCTAGATTGAGCTGATGACCGGTACCGCCATGGAATAATCTGTATCCATGACCCACACTTGTATGTACCACATGCACTCGTACCGTGGTCCCCTGTCCGGTGATGGAGAACACAGGAAAGGGAAGTCTCGTGTCTCATTCCATGAAACTAGAATGATGGCTGAAACCGCCAATACATGATCCATACATACTGTCGAGTTTGAACACGCAGCCAGCCCAACACCCACACCATGCATGGTCCCCTATCCATAGAACATAAGAAAATCAGGGCGTGTCCCGGACCATGACTGACGCCCCTAAGATGACATCAATTTGTATCCATGACCCACACACATCCACGCACCTTGGTCCCCAAGGTGAGATTACATGAATGGAAATTCGTTTCCCAACCCATATATGATACTAGATCGAGCTGATGACTGATACCCCCATGTCATGATCCATATCCACGACCCACACTCCTACGTACCACATATACTCATACTGTGGTCCCCTTCCTAATGATGAAGAACACACGAAAGGGAAGTCTTGTGTCTCGTTTGATGACAACACCCCCAATGCATGATCCATATATACCCGTAAGTTTGAACATGCAACTGGACCCTATTCCACACCATGTATGGTCCTCTGTTTGAAGAATATAAGAAAATCAGGTCGTGTCCCGGACCATGACAAGGCGGTGATGACCACCCCCCCTAAGATGACATCAATTTGTATCCATTACCCACACGTATCCCGCACCATGGTCCCCACGGCGAGCGCACATGAACGGAATCCATATCTCGACCTATTTATCGTGAGTATTTTTTTTCTTATCTTCTTATTTATCACTAGATTATACAATCTAGAAAAAAAAATTGTTTTTTTATTTAACCATCAAACTTATTTAAAACAACTCCAATTTCACAATAAAAATGCCAAAATGGTGTAGTTTTCAATTCAACCATACATTAAAAACATCCAATCAGATATATAATTTTAATTTATTAATTATTAAATTCTTTTTTATGTATTTTTAAATTTTTATTTATGTGTTTATTATTGATGTTGTTATTCTAATTTTGAAGTGGAAAAATCAAATTAACAAGAAGGAAATATCAGTTCCTTTATATGAAATTTAATCCTTAGTTTTAGTCCCTCAAAAACCCCAAATAAATAGGATTCAAATCATCCCAAAATTTCAATTCCCTCCATATACATACTCCACGTTGAAAATTTCTTTTTACATAGGTGATAAAGTTTTAAACAATTCATTGTTTCATTATCATCATCATTTTTTTGGTTTCCATATATAAACATATTTTTTCGATATTCAGCTCATATTTCTATACTAATAGATGTCATCGACAAGAAAATACAATTCGATAACCATGGAAACAAAGATGAGATTTTCAACGATGAACCAAAAACAAGCGAAGATGCTTCATCGTCTGATGCTAAAAGTACTAATGAAATTATTACTGAGAATGATGAAGGTTGATAAATATAGAAAGTTCTTCACATCTTCTAAATCTAGTATTTATTATTTACATGCGTTGTTTGATTGGCTTAAGAAAATACAGCAAGAAGGGTTAACAGAGGGAAAACTAGATTACCAAAAGTTCATAACGACTTGGATAGATCTAAATGTCAAAAACATAAAATAGTTCATTATGATGAAACTGTAACAACCCAAATTTGTTTTCGTCAACGATGTTAGCTTCCATTAGACGGATATTTATTTTCATATGATTATTTCAGTTTTAAAAAGTAAAAATTAAATAAAAAAATAGTGTTGTCTAATGTCTAAAGGGATTAATAAATAATTAAAAGGTAAATAATTTAATTAGACTTATTCGGGAAATAAGGGATAAATATGTGTCATTAAAAGGTTTAAATGAAGTGGAGGGGCTGTAACGATATTAAAAGAAACTCAATATGTCATGTATGCAGGGTTAGAGTATAACGGGACATTAGATGAAATCGTGAGGGACTGCTATTGCAAAATCGAATTGAAAGCCCATGAAATTAAAACCCACGTCTGTTTCCTTATCTTTCGCCCGTTTCGTCGTTTGAGTTCCTGGGAATCGATCAAAAGGGTCGTCGTACTCCCTCTTGGGCTGTTTCACCATCGACATTTTTCCAGAGGGAGAGAGTGAGGAACGACGGGGACACAAAAAGAAGGAGAGAACGAGGGAGAGAAACAATGAGTTTTTCGGTGTTTTTTCTGCGTTTTTGTTCGGGATTTTCTGGTAAGTTCTTAACCCTTTTCTCTCCTCCATGCTAAACACTATCAGAAACGAATACATACATGGTTTTGTGTGTTTAGAGTTCTCGAAAACTGATTAGAGTCTATAATCACGCGCACCACATTCTCTTCCGTTTTGTTTTATCGGGTTTCTTTCCTACCATGTTCCTTTCCCAACGTGCAACCATTCTTTTTCCTGTTTCTGTTTTTCTTACAGTCGAGTTCATGCTTGAATACGTCGAAGCAAACAGCAGATCAAGCCTTTGTACATGGTAGCTTGTGCTTATGTTTTTAAGAAAAGTGGCCCTCATGATCCGTGTAGATTTCTTTCTTCTATTTTTCCTGTGTTTCACGTTTTACTCCTTTTCTCCTGCTCAATCTCAAAAAGGAACCAATGTATTAGCCATGTATTTTTTTTTTTAACGGCGAGCAAAATAAAATTAGAAAACAAAAAGACTTAAGCGAGAAGCTCAAGCCATATTAGAAGAAAAGTTTGAAATAGGAGACATACACCAACCAAACCAATAATTTTAAAATATTTAAATCTACATTTATTAATCCAAGAAAAACAATTAGCCATGCATTACTTTGCTATGCCCCACTGGTGGTCTTGTGCTTTGACTGAGGAGAAGAAGTAGCGATACTGGGTATACATCCTTTGATGAAGCTAAGACCTAGCTAGCCTATTGTTCCTTGCCTCCTGACTTAATAAAGCACTGCACTAAGTTCATCTCCAATGCATTAACATTTAAACTCTTAAGAATTCAATGGATTGTACTATTTTATTAACTTTTTTTTTGGAAACGGCAAATGATTAAACGGAAGCCTACTCGCATATTTCAACGAGCACCCCGGGTTCGAGCTCCTTTAACCATTATAACTATTAAACTCTACGATCCGTTAAACTCTTAAGAGTTCAATGGATTATCACATCAACATTTTATTATATTTTTTAATAAATAATTTTAATAAATAAATAATATTAATAAATAAGATGTTATCATTTTAAAATATTTTTAAGATTTATGTACTTTTTTATTGTTTAGAAAAAAATACAAATTAACTTAATAAATTAGTTATTGAAAATAAAATAAAATATAGCATAAATATAGTGCAAATGAAACAAAAATTAATAATATATTGTTTGTATATGATAAAAGAAAAATCAAATGTTAATTTTCTATCTGATTGGTTATATTATATTATACAAATGTTCATTTTATATATATATATATATATATATATATATATATATATATATATATATATATATATATATATATATATATATATATATATATAACAGTTGAATGGGGATTAAACCCCCTTAACCCTTTCATTCAACTCCACTTACAATGTATTCCCTCCATCCCAAAATTATTGTCCACAGACAAAAGACACATAGATTAAGAAAAACAATCATTAGTTTTGTCTTTTTGAGTAAAATGATCGTCTTGCCGTTTTCTAAAACCAATGGGAATGTGCGTTTGTAATTATTCAAGTTTACTTTATTAAATGTTAGGGGTAATATGGTAAAAATGTATATCTACTTTTGGTAGTGGACAATAATATTGGGACAAACTAAAATAGTAAGGTGGACAATAATTTTGGAACAGAGGGAATAAGTTTTAATAGATTGAATGCCACATCGTCACCCATTTTTCCATTAAACTCTCAGTTGACCTTCCATTGGGGATGGCCCAATGGCCTAAGGACACATATATAAATTATACACATTACACATATAGTACAAAACTTTTAAGAAGTCCATCGTGGACCTCTTACTTCCACAAAAGAATTGGATGCTGATTACTATTTAATTATTAAGACTTGTCCACAAAGAATTTGGTAATATATACCCATAGTCATCAAATTTTTGACGTAAAAGCAATGACAGTTGAATTGGAATTGGGTTTTTTTCCTGAATTCTTTTTAGAACTTAACTCATTGACTATTAAGTTGTTAAAAGTAATATGGGGATTGGTTTGTGATTGTTGTTGAGGATTGTGGAAAAGAAATTAAGATATCTCTCTTCCTAATAAAAACCTCCCTAAGATGCCACATGTTCTTATTATAAACACCTACATTCCACGTGTCAATCTTTCAGCCATCTTATCAAGTGTTTTCCCGCCCATTGCTTCATTCAAGAATCGACATCATCTCCTACTAATAAGTAATTCGGTTATCTTCAACTCATTCTCCTCGTAGCAATTTCAAAATATATCTTTTCCATAAATACAATCGCATAAAATCAGGTAATTTCCCTATTTGAAAACGCATACACCGTGTACATAACCATTTTGAATTCTCATCTTTTACTTTTACAGCTCTCTAAAACCCTAGCGCCGAGGAAGAAGATAAACCCTTTGATTTGTGCATAAACTACTACCATTTTTGCTGATACGACAATATTCCAGTGCTTCGCTCCTTCTATTGTAAGTTTTGTTTAATCTTCTTGAATTTCTAGCAAACACGACTCTTAACGCAAGTAACCGAGCATCAATTAATCATCAATTGATTAATCTCGAAGCAAATCGTCTATGGTTGTTACGGTTTTGAATGTTTTTGTTTTCGTTACTTTCCATGGTGGATTAGATCTTTCATGCCTTGCATGAAATGCTTGATTGCGGATCTGATGATTCTCTCCCGTTTGTTTTCTGCCTTAATCTTTAACCCACTCCACCTCTCTCGCTTTCAAACCCTAGGTATGTTCCAATTTTACATTTTTTATATAGGGGTTTTCATTGCTTTGGGTGGTTTTCAAATTCCATGATGCGGAACTAAATATTGACAATCTTTTTATTTTTCTTTCCGCTCTCTAGATGGGAATAGACTTGAAAGATGAAGAGATTTCTAGGTTTTTTCTTGCTGAATTATAGAAATTGGGTAAATACTTCAGTTTGTAAACAGTTATAGTCTCTAACATTCTTTGAACTTAAGAACTTTTACTTTTTTCTTTCATTTTTTGTTGGGTTTTTTTTTTGAAAAGTTAATACTCCATGATTTGTTTTTCAAATATCAAACTATACCAAAATTCATTTATCATGAAGGAGAATAGTTTCAGGTAACATACCCTTTTATCTTCCCCATTTACTAATTAGAGACTGATGCCAACATATTTGTATATTATGCTCATGAAGATTTGTAAATTGGATCTACTTTGGGTTACCATATTGCCCATTTCACTCTATTTTATTAACACAGGGGCCATTACGTAATTTTTTTAACACATTTGTGTTACAGACAAATCGATTGGAGAATGAAGGTTACTATGGAGGTGTACGTCTGCTTATGGCAACTTGTAAAGTTTTTACCAAATACTGCAAAGAACAGGGGATCGATCTTCACAACAACAACTTTTCTCTTTCATATGAAACCAACATCCCTCTTCAGGTAAATCTTTCAACCATTTATGTTATCTCTTCTTCATTGTATATCCAATGATCCTTGATCCCAAATCTCGTGTTATCATTTTGGAAGTTCTATCTTACCCTTTTCATCTCTCAGACAGGGTTATCTGGTTCAGTGCCATTGTATGTGCTGCCTTTAGCTGTCTTCTTGACTTTTACAATGTCAGAGACAAAATAAGTGTTGAGATAAGACCTCAACTTATCCTCAATGCAGAAAAAAGAACTTGGAATTGTTGCAGGTTTACAAGACATAGTAGCTCAAGTTTATAGAGGCCTTGTATACATGATATTTTTACATAAATAATTTAGTTTTTAATGCTTTTAATATATAATATAATAAAATCTATTTTCAGGATTTTGACAAGGACAAGATGGATAAATGTGGGCATGGAAATTACACAGAGTTGGATACAAGTCTTCTTCCACTTCTTCATCTCATCTATGCTGAAAATCCAAGTGATTCTGGAAAGGTAATTAAATGGCTTTTGTGCATCTTTGAGTTGATAAAAATATTTTATAAAAAAAAATTATCTATAAAATAAAGTTTTCATGAGTGTAGGTGCATAGCACAGTTCGACAAAGATGGCTAGATAGAGACAAGTTTCTAATATCATCAATGGAGGAAGTGGCAAACTTAGCTCTTGAAGGAAAACCAGCTTTACTTGAAAAAGATTATTCTAAACTTGCTACCCTTATGAATCAAAACTTTAATCTACGGAGGTAAAACAAAAAATAGTAATATACTTTCATTGATTTGTTTATTATTGCATCCTATTTTCATTTCTTCGTATTACAACATTATACTTTGAAAAACAAAAATCTACTTAATTATAATTTATAGCAATAGGGAAATCTCCATAAGAACCCTTATATTTTGGCCTCATAAGTAAATGTTTGTTGAAACCAAAATTGTATGCTTGAAAGTTTATATCACTGATCTGTGCATGTAAATATTGTTATATGTATCATAATTTTAATATTTTTCTTCTTTTTTTTTGTGCATGCTTCATGTTTCCTTTTATATGTTATGTTGGACTGGGGTAGAATTGTCAAAATTGCCATCAACACTCTAAAGGGATAACCGGATAAGCAACAAAGTTTCGACTTGTGTTTGTTGATATGTGTTTCGATAAGGATGCTAGACTATCAAATAAAACATTCGATGTTGTGTATAAACAAGTTTTTAGAAATTTATAAAACTTTGTATACTTTTATTATTTATATATATTTCAATTTCTGTTTTTATTTATATTTATATTGCATTCTACAAAATTATAATTTTCTAACATATCTACATATACAAAATGCCATTAATAATTATGTCATTGTGATATTACTGACAAAACATATATATTTATTATTTATTAAAGTTTTTATTATCATTTCTCAATAATTAAGTTATAATTTAACTCAAATTATTTTTAAATTATTTATCTGTGGTGTCCATGGGTTATAAGCTAGTATGTTTATATCAATAATCACTCCAAGACATGATAAATTGAACACGTTAACGGCCGGAGATAATGGACGTAATTTACTTATTTTACTGTATATAACATGTGGATTAGTTTTGAAAGATTAAATTGACGATGAAATAGGTTTAAGGTATAATCATTTCAATTGGACGAGGTAAAATGGTTTTATGCAGTATTCTTAATCAAATATCATTTGTAATTTATTTTTTTGCCTAATATAATAAACTGCGGTGACTTATGGAAATAAGTAAAAAAACAAATAAACAAGAATATTAAAACGTAAAATAAGGATTGGGGTGGAAATATTAAAAATATAATAAAGTAATATGTATTAAAGCTATGATTATGAACGTGAAATTCATTTAATAATTTAGTTATATATGTGGGTATTTTAGGTGAGGCCTTGAGAACTTCATGTAAGTTCAAGATCTAGAATAGAATGAGGGTTTGTTTCATTAAGGCTAAAGGTGAGTTTGTAGTTTTAACTCACTAAGATTGAATGATTGAAATGTACAATCTATAGATGGTGATTTGATTCATTTTAGGTTGAACATGTCATTACTTGTGCTTGATGATGATATGATATTTGTGATGCTACTATATGTTTTGTGCTATTGCCATGTTATGACCTGATTGCTATGTTGTTTACACTTTAATGAACTTGATGTATATGGCATGCTAGATTAAGTTGCTTGAAAGAATCATATATGATTGTGCCTTGATGTGTTGGTTGCGAATATAATGCATGTTTTAATACACCTTTAGATGGTATGAATTGCATGCTTTATTTAATGTATAGATGATATTGCGGGGTATGCGTAGTGGGTTTGGGTAGTTCATGATCTTTGCCTAAAACCTTATCCGGATCATTGAGGATGCCTACTAGGTTGAAAGAGTACCTATAGGAAGAGCTATAGCCACAGTGGTTGTTAGTTTATGGTCTTTCTAGATGACCGTGTGACACATGGTTCGTGTGCACTTCGGTGTTCGTGAGTTGGAGTGATGTTGGTCCCTCGTTTGCGGCCATCACAAACATCACGTAGGAGTCGGGAGGTGTTGCGGTAGAATTGGCACCATTTATATATGTTCCTGAACGACACCGCGAAGTACTTGTACTTTGCAAAGTCGGAGTAGCAAAAGTGCAGTCATGGGGTTGGTGTTTCGGGTGGAAGTCATGAGCCACTTAGATCATTCGGCTGACCGTGCACACAAGTAGTGAACAGGGTGTTTCTCTTGGGTTAGGTAGCATTAAGGGACATTTTTCTATCAATCGGTCGGATAGATACAATAAGAGGTTGAATAAATAACATAAGGTTGGTTGCATATTAAAATGTTGAATATATAACAAAAGGTTGGTTGTATATTAAAATGTTGAATATGTAACAAGAGGTTGGTTATTAATAAAAGGTTGAATAAGTAAAGGTTGCATATATATGAAATGTGATTGTTTACATGCTATGCGGTTGTTTATTTGGTATTTGGTTGATCATATATGTTATGTGGTAGAATTGTGGTTGAACAGATATGCATGTATGTGGTTGAATAATTACGATATGCGGTTATTTTCTAAGTGGAATTTGTCTATCATTTTTATGCTTCATGTGCAACATTTGTGAACTCACTCAGCAGGGGCTGCCACTTGTATCTTTCCTCTTTTATGCTTTATGATTGGTGTAGGCTGCTTAGAAGATCGGCCTTGGTGAGAGGGGTTACTTATAGGTAGTAGATTTATATTATCGATATCGCTCTTGGACACGTTTTTTATTATTTACTTTAAAGAACTTTTTCTTACATTTTAAATGGTTTGGAATTATGTATGAATTTTAAGGTAACGTTGTGGTTTGAAAATGTTTTAAATTAAAAACTAAGTCTTACGCTAACGTATTCAGCTAAAGATTGTTTTAAAATGAAAAAAAAGTTTATGGTAAAAATCACGATGTTACAGAAATGGGTAAAGTTTGGGTGAGAATGCACCCCTGTTTTCAAGCTTTTTGGGTGAGCTTGTTCGGAGATATGTGGGACTGAAGTATACAAAGTGGAAGAGTGTCACACATGTAGTGAAGGACAAGTAATGGAAAGAAATAAAGGTAGACATGCATGAAATGTAATATTTGAATTCGGATAAATTAATTGTTAGTTTCATTGTACTATATATATATATATATATATATATATATATATATATATATATATATATATAGATGTATGTTCAAATGAGAACATTTCTTAAACTGAGAACAAATGAGAACAAATCTTTTTTTTACCTTATATTCTACGCCACCCCACCTACTCTTGTCAGTCTCCCCTCACTCTCTCGTCTCTCCCGCCATTGCTGCCTGAAAATATTATCGACGCTTGAGATTAGAGCTCACATAATGATCGATTCCATACGCATGATTGTTATCAATTCTAAATCCCTAAACCTCCAACTCAAGCTCCATCTCATCGTTCATTGAGAAATACCTCATCCTTTTCTTTTTCTATCAGAAGAGAAAACACTAATATTTTCAAGCTGATTCAAGAGTACTCACATGCAATTGTCATACGCCCAACCATGGTTGAAGATCATGCAAATCTTGCTTCAACTTACAAAGACGTTTTGCACTTCTTTTCACTTCATTTCATCCATTTAAAACAAACTTAGTTTACTTAACCTTGTCAAATAGTCAAATTTGAGATGAATTTTTATTTTGAAAACCTGGACTTGTAATTTGTAGTGGACATGTGGAAGCGACCATTAAAAGCTATCGGCAAGCATTGGCCATATGTTCTGACTTTCCTGAAGCAACTTGTAATCTGCTCCACACATTACAGGTATTTCTTGCATTTAGATTTTAGCCCTTTCTTCATGAATCAACTTGTAATTTCTCTACTACTTTCATTGAGAAATTTGGTTTTTCAACATTCTGTGTCATCTTAAAAAAAGCAACGACTAGGATTATGCACTCCAGGTGTTCGACATATTGCCACAACCATTTCAGTTCTTCAACATGAAGCATCTTAAGTCGTTTAACATATTTTCAAGCTACAGAGGAAGAGGGAACTAGAAGTGCCCCTCAAAATTAAGTCATTTATCAAGGTATAGTAGCTGCTCCACTTGAAGATGCTGATGCATTTGAACTTTAAATCATTTTCACGAATTATCAACTTTTACCTACTTTTCTGCCTAAGAGTTTCTACTCAACTAAAAGTGGTGATAACATTATGATGATAATCATCTAAATATCACAATTAGCAACTTCAGAAACTGTCGTTCATCTGTGAAGATGAAACAAAAGCAAGAGAGAGAGAGGAAAAAAATCATGTCGCTAAAAAGACAAAACTATGTTGATGACAGAAAATGTATTTCATGGTACAGTAACCTTAAGATCACTCCCACTTCGTTGGTTTCAATTGTTGAGTCTGCCCCTGTTTTGAAGTAGTTAAATGTTTTCTGATTATGCTTGTTGTGAAGCTATTTGCTCGACTATGGAACTCTAAAAATGATAGAAAAACGGGGAGAGAATATTTCTTTCCCGATCTAATTAATTGTTAACTAGTATGCAATCAAGAATAACAGATGTTCTTACTTATTCTATTTTTCCAAAAAATTGAAAGTAACAAATGTATGTTCTAATAATAATAGGAAGTAGAAGATAGGTGATAGCCCCATTAGTAGATAAATGCACATCACTAGCTACCTTTTTGTATTGATCCTTTTAAAAACATCATCTCTTGGACCTTATATGCAAGAGGTCCAACCTTGAAATCGATTACATTCCTTATAGAATGCAACTTGACATACATTCTAGTGTGGGTAACTTTCTGTTGGACTAACTGTTAACATGTACGCAAAATATTCTTATGATTATTTGTTCGATCTTTTCATGCATCAAGTGATCAAACAAACATTTCTTATGATTATCTGTTCGATCTTTTCAGGCATCAAGTGATCAAAAATCCATTGGCGGCCGATTCCTTTTTCTCAAGGAGGAGTTGCATTTTCTGGGCGAGCTTCACGATGAGGTTATCTTTATTCAAAGTTAATTAAGTACATCTTTATCTAGCTATGATACAAGTAGTATTTTCTTATATATTAATGACCTACTTTTAATAAAGTTAAAACCCTCTTCAGCTTTTTCCTTTTGCATTTTTTTATTAGAGCCCTATACATACCTATTAAAATCACACCTATTTAAATAAAAATTAAAAGACTATAATAATTAGTGTTGTTGCCAAATATTTTATGTTCATTTTTTTCAAACGAATG